TTCATCGCTAACAACAAGAAGAACTTGCATTTATATAGCACCCCTCCTGTCGGGTCGCGTCTCAGAGCGCTTCCCCCAAATAAAATTGGTCATTAACTGTTCATGTGATATTGTTGAACATAAAATAGTTCCTACATTTGTCCACAAAATATCAGTGCACTTTACATTAATCCTGTGCAGCGCTTTGACACATCTCGACAACATGATAAGGTGCTATATCCAATGTAAGGATTATTAATAATTATTGTGTTGGATGATTGTGTGCCTTGGAGGAGAATGCTAAACTCCGAAAATCTGTCCACGTGCCATTTGGGTCTGTCACCACCTTTCTCTGTCTGACTATTTCTCTTGGTCTCCCTCTCTCTTAATCTCCCTTACTCTCTCTTGTCTATAATAATAATTGATAATAATAATCCTTGCATTTGATATAGCTCCTTATCACGTCTTTCAGACGTTTCAAAGCGCTTCACAGAATTTACTGTGAAGTGAATTGACTATATATTGTGGGCGAATTATGGCAGTGTCCCACAATCAGTCGTGGATTGAATGACCAATTTATTATTATTTTTTGAAGGAATTATTACCCTCCTTATATAATCTCCCTTACTCTCTCTTGTCTATCTCTCTGTTTCCTTCTCTCCCTCTCATCTCTTTTTTTCGCTCTCTTTCTCTCTCTCTCTCTCTCTCTCTCTCTCATCCTTCAGTTTTCCCCTTTGTTTTTTCATACATTTACAGAATTGGGTTGATTCAAAATCCTTTAAACTCTAAAGGAAAATTGAGTGGATCGTAATTCATTATAATAATGAGAATAATCTTTGCATTTGATATGGCACTTTTATCACATCACCGACACATCAAAGCACTTCATAGGATACTGTGAAGTGATATAGTTGTGTGTATTTTCTGGGAAAATACGGTCACCAATTTTGCGCACAGCAATCTCCCCACCAACTGCCTTGGAGTGAGTGGCTGATTTTATTTGTAGGATTGTCGGCCAGGACACCAGGAGAAGGAACTCCATTCTATTTTCGAATAGTGGGAGTCCTGTAGCTCAGGGGTTAGAGCGCTCACCTCGCAAGTGAGAGACCGGGGTTTGATTCCCGGCAGGTGAAACGTTTCGTTACTCCACACACTATTTACCTTCGCAGTAAGTAGGAACCTGGTTATTAGTCAATTGGCGGATTGCTTTTCTGGGGGTAATAATTCCTTACATTGTCCTTACAATGGCTTGAAACTACAACCTTCTGATTCATGTGTGAGAGTGCCACTAATTGAGCCGGGCTGACACACTATATTGTTCAGGGACACAAACAAATAATACATTTATCATTCAATCCATGACTGTTTGTGGGACACTGCTGTGCGCAATTGGTTGCCACGTTTCGCCCAGTGCTCTGAGACGTCTCGAAGTCATGATAAGGAGCTATATCAAATGCAAGGATTATTATTAACGTCCATCTGGACAGAAGGCAGGATTTAATGTCTCATCCGAACCTTATATTGTTCAGTATACGGGTCGGACGCTGGTCAGTATTAGAGACAGGTCAGTTTTAGGTCAGTCCTGTAGGGAATCCTGGAGCTCAGTGATTAGAGCACTCGCCTTGCAAGTGAGAGACCGGGGTTTGATTCCTGGAAGGGTGAAAGTGTCCTTACCCACACGCCTGACAATAATCCCTCAAGAAAAAAAATATTATTTGGTGATTCAATGTTTGTGGGACACTGCTGTGCAAAATTGGTTGCCTCGTTTCGCCCACAATTACAGTCAATTCACTTTACAGTGTATTCTGTGAAGAGCTTTGAGACGTCTGGAGACGTGAAAAGCTCTATATCAAAATGCCACTGATTATTATTATTAGTCTAAGGGTTGAGTCACTATTAGTTCGTTCAGTATTATTCTTGGATCAGTATTCGGGCGGTCAGTTCGCTTAATGTGGTTATTGATTATTACATGCAAAGTGAAAAGGACTGATACCAATGAAGGAAAACGATGACACGGGGAAACGTGGAACTCTCTTTAAGGGGGTCCTGTTATAATGTAGAATTTACTTCCAAGACATGGATTGTCTTCAGCACAAGAAAGGAAGGCTTCGCACATAACAAACATGTACAGCAGCTGATGCAAACTGAAGTGGTGACCCTGAAGTTGGGCTGTTTGTGGTTCAGGAATCCAAGCCAGTCACCGTCATGTCATCACTGATGAGCAGCCACTGCTGATCACACTGCGCTATGAGGCAGATTACAGTGTTATGGACTCCAGCAATGTAAAGTGTAGTGACTGAATTTTTGTGGGCGAACACCAGCAGTGTCCCACAAACAGTCATGGATTGAAGTGACCAATTATTAGTATTATTATTTGAAGGATTTATTACCATTGGAAAATTGATCCACCGATCGACTAAAAACCGGGTTTCTACTCACTGATAGATAAACAGAGGTGTGTGTGAGTGTGTGTGGAGTGAGGAAACTGCCCAATATTTCGCTCTGCCCAGGAATCGAACCCAGGTCTCTCACTCTGGCGAGTGCTCTAACCACTGAGCTACAGTACTATTTAAAACAGAAACCAAAAAGAACATCTTTGTCAAAAAGTTCAGTGTAACACTGGTTTATATTGTATGATTCTATTATCATACTATTCACAGAAAATCACCCAGTGTCACCGTAACACAGAACATTGAATAAGTCTTCAATCTTATGCTTTACGTTCAGTGGTAATAAAGAAGCCGTTCTTGCGTCTGTTGCAGATGGACCAGACACCCCTGAGCTTACAATCACGAGACACACTCCAGCAGAACTTGGAGACTAAATGGATATTTAATGGCACCGTTCTGTCACACACAACTCCACAGCTCACCATTGATCAAATAAGCCCGACTGACCGCGGGAGTTACACTTGGAGCCCTGTAGCTCAGTAGTTAGAGCTCTCGCCTCGCAAGCGAGAGGAACTGGGTTCGATTCCCGGCCGGGTCAGGGTTTAACATTAGGCAGAACACACACACCTTTGATAGCAGCAGTAAGTAGGAAGTCGGTTGTTAGTCGATTGGTGGATCGCTTTTCTGTGGGTAATAATGTCTCCAAAAGAAAATAATAATAATAATTTGGTCACTCAATCCACGACTGTTTGTGGGACGCTGCTGTGCACAATTGGCTGCAAACAAAATATACAGTCACTACTTTACAGGGTATTCTGTGAAGCGCTTTGAGACTCTCGAAGATTTGATAAGGCGCTGTATTAAGGATTATTAAGGATTATTATGATAACCCATGTGAAGGGCATTGTATGAACATTAACATCTGTTGACTTTCCCCTCCAGATTCTGTTGGTGCTCAGGATCAGAGCGCCACCATCGCAGCCATCACTCTCGGGGTTATATTGTTTGTGATCATCATTCTCCTGATTGCTGTTGTCGTCTATAGACAGTGTGGGCATTCTGCTGGAGATCCCGGTAACTACATCACTTCTATTTGTAGTGACGTATACAGTGTATCGAATCCAAGGATTATTATATTAGATTCGATAATTACTTTTAAAAACGCGGTGGACGGGTATTTGAGGAGAACGGGTTGCAGGTTATGGGAAAGGGACGAGAAGTGGGATTGACATTAATTGCTCTATTCAAAGAGCCGCACAGACTCGATGGGCCGAATGGCCTCTTTTTGTGCTGTACAATTCTATGATTCTATGATATGATTATATCAAATACAAGGACTATTATTATATCAAATACAAGGACTATTATTATATCAAATACAAGGACTATTATTATATCAAACACAAGGACTATTATTATATCAAATACAAGGATTATTATTATATCAAATACAAAGACTATTCTAAGTGCTCAGAGGCTCAGAGAGCACAAACGAGATCTCGGTCCTAAGGTGATCCATCTGATGGGGTTTTCCGCTCCCCATTGAGGAAAGAATATCCTCGACCTGGAGAGGCAATGTCAATGGATGATACCGGGTATGAAAAATATATGAACCTGTGATGAGAGAGTAAATTAGATAATGGTGTCATTCTCACAACAGGAATCTCTTCAACACGCAATGAGGCACGAACAATCTACCAGAATGAGTCCATCCATATGGGGAACCAGGTCAGGATAGTTACTAAAACAACCTCTGGTCAACATGGTTCCATCTCACTGTCTGTGGCATGAAGTGAGCAGCTGTTAACTCCCCTGAATCTCGCCAACTGACTCAAATTATTGACTGGATAATCAACTGCTGTGGTCTGCTTCTCGTTCCCCGCCTCCATGATTCTATATAATAGATGGCCTGATTTCCTGCCCACTGTTGGCGGGCGCTCTGCCTTCTGCCACTCTGCCCCACCCTCTGCAACTCCATCCCACAGTCCCTCCGCCTCCCCCCCCCTCCCTCACCTACTTCAAGACCCATCTCAAGACCCGAGTCTTCGATCGTGCTTTCCCTCACCCTGATCCCCCCCCCCCCCGCCCTCAATCCACCCCGATCCCGACCCCCAGCTCGGGTCTGAAACACTGACTGTCCAGCGCCTTGGAACGTCCTCTTTTGTGAAAGGCGCTTTACACATGTATGATGTTGTTGTTGTTGTTGTATGGTGGTCACTGGGATTGTTCTCCTCGGAGCAGAAAAGGTTAAGGAGAGATTTAATAGAGGTGATCAAAATAATGAAGGGATTCGATAGGATGAACAGAGAGAAACTGCTTCCATGGCGGGTGGGTCAGTAACCAGGGGACATGGATTTAAGATAGTTGGGAAAAGATTGAGAAGCTCTTCCAAAGAGCCGGCACAGGCCCGATGGGCTGAATGGCCTCCTTCTGTGCTGTAATATTCTATGATTCTACATAATCGAATGCCTGAAATTAATTATATTCCATAATCATTGGGACCCCAGAGTGTGCGTTGGGGTAACTGCTGGAGGCTAACCAGCTAAACCCACATAGTTTGCCATTGACTCGCTTTCCCGCTGCTTGTCCAGCGAGGACCACCCTCCCCGTTAGTCAGGGCTTTGGCTGCTGTGTTAACAGGAACTGAGGGGGAGATTCCCTGCCCCCAGTGACTGGTCTGCCCCAGGTCCTGCTGATGAGCCAGGCCGGGCTGTGCTGTCATCACCGGTTCCCTGGGATACTGTGGACCCTCCTGGCTCAGGGATCGGACCAGAGACCGTCATAGAGGGGGGCTCGATTCTGACATTCCCTAAGGCCGGAGTCCTGTCCACAGACAATGAGCATTAAATCAGTTTTGATTACTTTTAATTATCTTAAAAAAAGGCCTCTGAGATACATAGCAATAATAATCATCATTGCATTTGACACAGCGCCTTATCACGTCATAGAAAACATCTCAAAACGCTTCACAGAGTAATAATAATAATAATAATCCTTGCATTTGATATAGCGCTTTTCACGTCGGGAGGACGTCCCAAAGCGCTTCACAGAACACACTGTAAAGTGAATTGACTGTATATTTGTGGGCGAAACGTGGCAGCCCATTGCGTACAGCATCGTCCCCACAAACAGTCGTGGATTGAAGTGAACGATTGTTTTTATTACCCCCTGAAAGGAGATCCGACAATCGACTAACAACCGGGTTCCTACTTACTGTTCAGTAAACAGAGACGTGTGGAGTGAGGAAACTTGACCAACATTTCTCTCTGCTGGGAATCAAACCCAGGTCTCTCGCTTGCGAGACAAGTGCTCTAACCACTGAGCTTCAGGACTCTACGCTAATGATAATAAAAGCTCATTGCACTATAGAATAGAACCCAACGGGGCATAAACTGGGGGAGAGTTAAACAGAAGGTTAAGTAAATGGTTATTTACATAGATTTACTGGACTGTACGGTGTGGAGATGGGCCTTCAGCCCAACGAGTCTGTGCCAGTGTTTATACCCCACAGTAGACACACAATCCTCCCACTTCTCCCTCTGACTCAGGCAGTGCTCCAGATTGTCACCGTTCTCTGGGTGAAGGAGTTCCTCCTATTCTGGTTGACATCCCTTTGGCGCTAATATACACTTGTGTCCGTCTCCTGGTTACAGACTCCCCAACAAGTTGCAGTTGCCTATTTATGCTGACTTTATCAAACCCTTTTATAATTGTAAACACCTCCATTAGGCCCTCTCTTGAGTGATTCTTCTCTGGCAAAAAACAGCCCAACCTCTCCCGTCTGCCCTAATACCAGTAGCCAACCAGCACTGGTACAGTCGTAGTAAACCTTCGCTGTTATCTTTCCATCGCTGGTATATGGACTGTGGAGTCCTGTAGCTCAGCGGTTAGAGTTGGGTTTGATTCCTGGTAGGACTAAATGTTGGGCAAGTTTCCTTCCTCCACACACGCGCCTCTGTTTAACCAGCAGTTAGTAGGAACCCGGCTGTTAGTCGATTGGCAAATTGCTTTCTGGGGGAAGTAATTCCTTCAAAAAGAAATAAAAAATGTGTCACTCAGTCCAGGCTGTTTGTGGGGACGTCACTGTGCGCAATTGGCTGCTGTGTGTCGCCCACAAAATATACAGTCAATTCACTTTGCAGTATATTCTGTGAAGGGCTTTGAGACGTCTCGATGATGTGATAAGGTGATATATCAAATGCAAGGATTATTTTTGTTTGTGGAGTCCTGTAGCTCAGTGGTTAGAGCACTCGCCTCGCAAGCCAGAGACCTGAGGTTAGGGCGAGACCACAGCTTCCTCATTCCCACTGCCCTCTGTGTACAGCAGTTCCTCCTAATCTCCCAAACCATCTGTCTATGGTCCTGTTGCTCAGTGGTTAGAGCACTTGCTTTGCATGTGAGAGGACCCGGGTTCGATTCCTGGGCGAGGAGAACATTTTTCCTTACTCCACCTACACACACACACCACACACACACATTGTTTACCAGCAGTAAGTAGGAACCCGGCTGTTAGTCGATTGGCGGATCGCTTTTCTGGGATAATAATGACTTTTTTAAAATAATAATTTGGTCCATCAATCCAGACTGTTTGTGGGACGTCGCTGGTGCAATTGGCGCCGTGTTTCGCCCCAAAATATAGTCAATTGGCTTTACAGTATATTCTGTGAAGCTTTGAGACGTCTCGATGATGCATTGAAATGCATTTGCCATTTAAGTGCCCACTCAGCAAGTTTATTAATGTTTTGCTGTAATGTGTGACCGTCCTCCTCTGGATACTATTCCCCCCGATCTGGTCTCGTCCGCAAATATTGAAATTGTCCTTCTGATTCCCGAGTCCAAATCATTAATGTATATTGTGAACAACAGTGGGTCCCAATACCCATCCTTGTGGAACCCCACTGCCCACCCCCTGCCAGTCTGAGCCGCTGCCCTTTACCCCTACTCTCTGCTGTCTGTTTTGCAGCAGATTGCTATCCATTCTGCTATTTTCCCCGACTCCACATACTCTGTGGATGTGTCAGTCCAGTTTCAAACACTGTGCAACAATAAGGTGAACTTACAGAGCGTTTCACTAAGATACGGTCTCGGAGACCACCAGCACAGACATGACAGAACACAGCAGGGGATGGGGTTAGAGAAGAGAGCTCCAGTGGGGGAGTGAGCTCCAGCACAGACACGATGGGGAAAGAGAGAGAGAGAGAGAGGGAGAGCAGGGAATGGGGTTAGAGTAGAGAGCCCCAGTGGGGGAGTGAGCCCCAGTACAGACACGATGGGGAGAGAGAGAGAGAGAGAGAGAGAGCAGGGGATGGGGTTAGAGAAGAGAGCTCCAGTGGGGGAGTGAGCTCCAGCACAGACATGATGGGGAGAGAGAGAGAGAGAGGGAGAGCAGGGAATGGGGTTAGAGTAGAGAGCCCCAGTGGGGGAGAGAGCTCGAGCACAGACACGATGGGGAGAGAGAGAGAGAGAGAGAGAGAGAGAGAGCAGGGAATGGGGTGAGAGGAGAGAGCTCCAGTGGGGGAGTGAGCCTCAGCACAGACACGATGGGGAGAGAGAGAGAGAGAGCAGGGATTGGGGTTAGAGTAGAGAGCCACAGTGGGGGAGAGAGCTCGAGCACAGACACGATGGGGAGAGAGAGAGAGAGAGAGAGAGAGAGCAGGGAATGGGGTTAGAGGAGAGAGCCCCAGTGGGGGAGAGAGCTCGAGCACAGACACGATGGGGAGAGAGAGAGAGAGAGAGCAGGGAATGGGGTTAGAGTAGAGAGCCCCAGTGGGGGAGTGAGCCCCAGCACAGACACGATGGGGAGAGAGAGAGAGAGAGAGGAGGGAATGGGGTGAGAGGAGAGAGCCCCAGTGGGGGAGAGAGCTCGAGCACAGACACAGACATCGTTCTGTGCTGTAAACACAATCTATGATGATATTGTTAATCAGATGTGAAACACAAAGACAGGTTTCCGTTGCTCTCTGTCCCTTCAGCACAACTCTTCCCATCTACTGACTGTTTATATTCACTCTGACTTTCTTACTGCAGGAACTCGCTGAGGCCTCTGATCCCAATGCCACCTACACGGTGAGAGATGATTCATATTTCATTGTGTGGATCCAAACGTCCTCTTGTAGCCTCTGCCCTGAGCCCTGCACCATGTGCCAGTGGCCATGAGGGCAACATACCCTCCTCCAGACCTCTGCCAACCTCTGCTGAGAGCTGCTGCCCACGGGTGGGTGTGTGGGTGGGTGGGTGGGTGGGGGCGGTGGTCAGCTGTGTGTCCATGGTGTGTCAGCACCTGTCTCCTCAGTGCAGCTCACTGTGTACGTGCTGCTGACAGTCACCCCGTCACACTCTCTACCCCAGGCTCCCTGATTCCTGTTCCCCCCCAGCGACCTGCCACACCTTGTGACACGAGTGGGGACCTGTAGCTCAGGGGTTGGACCCCTCGCCTCACAAGCGAGAGGAACTGAGTACGATTCCCGGGCGGGTCAGGGAGAAACCTCAGACAGGTTTCCTTATGTTTAATGGCGTGATCAGCGCTGTATGAAATGCTCGGATTCCTATTTATTATTATTATTATTTGCACCGCTGACTGTTACACCTGTGACATTAGTGACATTCTCTTCCTGTCTTCTCTGGCCAGACTTTACAGCCACATGATCAGTCCCTGTACAGTGACCTGAGAGGCAAAATGGTTGGATAACTGTCTGAACAGACGGGGACTGGAGCCGTGAAGTGCTGATGTGCGGCTTATTCAACCCCAACACGGCCGGGATCAGCAAACCATCTCCTCCCCCTCCCGTTCCCAGCACCTTCTCTTTGTGCAGTTGCTGGACTGGAGTCTGGCGGTTTGTATCACCCACAGTTTGTTTCTCTGTGTTCAAGAACTCTGGAGCGTAATTCTCATGTGGTGCTCACATGGTCCCACTCAGTGATATCATCCACAGGTGTGGGGTAAACTCTATCTCTCTGCCTCCACCCTGGACTCCAGGACCCACTGCTGTCCTGACGGATTGTCTGTCCGGCATCAAGTCCTGGATGAGAGCTGAGTTTCTCCAGTTGAACGTCGACAAGACCGAGGCTCTCCTGCTTGGCTCCCGTCAGCACCTCCTGACCTCAGGCGCTGACAGCATCAGTGTCCATGGATGCCCTCTCCCCATCACCGAGCCGTACAGAACCCGGTGTCTTGTTCAACCTCAACTGTCCTTAAACCCCACATCCGTGCCATGACCCATTCGGCCTTGTCCCACCTCCGCAACACTGCCGCCTCCACCACTCTCTCTCCCTCAGGCTGCTGAGCCCTTATTCACTCAATCATTAAATCCAGGCGTGACTCTCTCACTCCCTTTAACCCCTCCCTCCCTCCATGGCCTCGCTCCTCACTCGCTCTGCACCTGTTAAAGCTTCACCAACATGTCCTCTCCCTCTGCTCTGCACACACTGACCTGCTCCACGGCCCCCGCCCTCTGGATCTGCATCCAGGAGCCCCTCCACCTCAGCCCCTCACCTGCCTCCTTGGCCACCGGCCTCAAGAGCTGCCTTCTCAATCGTGCCTTCAGTCATCAACTGCACACACCTTACATACACGCTAACACACACACGCTTACATACACGCTGACACACACATGCTTACACACACGCTTACATACACGCTGACACACATGGTTACACACACGCTAACACACATGCTTACACACACATACACTTACACACACACATGCTTACACACACACACTCGCACATGGTTACACACACACACATGCTTACACACACGCTTACATACACACTCTTACACACACACTCGCACTTACACATAATGCTTACACACACACACGCTTATACACACACATTCACACACGCACAGACATACACCGCACACACTTACACACACAGAGACATGAGGACACACACACAAATGCAGCAATGGCCCAAACATAATAATATATCACAAGTAATTTTTAATAGAGTTAAATATATTATTAAATATAAGTATTATTTTTATATTTTTATAATAGTTTATGAATCGCTCTGAGACGCTGCCCTGTGCGGAGGGCGCTGTGTCAGTGCAAGTTGTTGTTGTTAGGATTATTAATATTATAACATAAGAATTTGCTCAACGAAAGAAGACAAAGGTCCATCCAGTTCAGCTTCCACTATCCCGGCAGTCGCTTGACATGTCGTGTCCCAAACTGTATACTGTGTGTCTCTCTCTCTGTCTGTGTGTATCTCTGTGTGTGTGTGTGTCTTTGTCTGTACGTGTGTGTGTGTGTCTTTGTCTGTGTGTGTCTGTATGTGCGTCTTTGTGGGTGTGTGTTTCTGAGTCTGTGTGTGCGTGTTTGTCTGTGTGTGTCTCTATGTGTGTGTGTTTGTGTGTGTGTATCTCTGACTTTGTGTGTGTGTGTTTCTGAGTCTGTGTGTGTTTGTTTGTGTGTGTCTCTGTTTGTCTGTGTGTGTCTGTGTGTGTCTCTGTGTGTGTCTCTGTGTGTGTGTGTGTGTCTGTGTGTGGGTCTATATACTATATTTCCACATATTAATTCCTCATAGAAATTTATCTTATTTGTTTTTGAAAAAATTAAAATTTTTGCTTCCACCATCTTAATAAAAAATAAAAATCACTGCCTTTGACCGAGTGTCTTATCAGGTCTTTGAGACGTCACAAAGCGCTTCACAGGATACGGTATAAAGTGAATTGACTGTACGTTTTGTGCGAGAAACGCGACAGCTAATTGCACACAGGAAATTTTTTATAACACCAATAACCTTGTCAGTTGGTATTGTGAAAGCAATTTCCCAGTCAGGAAGTGAATGTCACATTAATAATACATCCACAAGAATTGTTGATACAACACATGTCACGTCTCAAAGCGCTTCACGGGATACACCTTAAAGTGTAGAGACTGTGTGTTTTGGGGCTAAACGCGGCAGCCAATCGCGCCCGGCGACGTCCCCACAAACAGCCGTGGGTTGAGTGACCAAATTATTATTATTATTATTAACAAGCGGCTTCTTACTTACTGCTGTGTGTGTGTATGTGTGGAGTAAGGAAACTTACCCAACGTTTCAGATTGCAAAGCGAGGTGCTAACCGCTGACTGGGGGGGCGGGGGGGGGGGATTGATTGCCACACCCCATTGCCAGTACCTTACCATCAGCTGTGAGGACACTTCCCCTCTCCCCCCCCACACCTCCTCCAGGGAACTAACCCGGTGTTGAGCAATATTGATTGTAACAATCAACACTGACTGTAAGCGCTTCACAGAATATACTGTAAAATGTAGTGACTATGTGTTTTGTGGGCGAAACGCAGCAGCCAATTGTGCTCAGTGACGTCCCACAAACAGTCGTGGATTGAAGTGACCGATTCATTTTTGTTTGAAGGAATTATTACTCCCGGAAAAGCCAATCGACTACCAACCGGATCCTACTCACTACAAGGCAAACAGTGACGTGTGGAGTAAGGAAACTTGCCCAACGTTTCTCCCTGTCCCACCCGGGAATCGAACCCAGATCCTCTCGTTTGCCGGGCGAGGGTCTACCCACTGAGCTACAGGATCATCACTATCATGGCTTCTCTGCTGAAAGATCACTGCTGGAGCTTTCTTGGATTCCTTATTTGGTAGATTTATCTGCACTCATTTACACAGTCAGGAAACTGTCTCTCTATCACACACTAAACCCTGTACCCCATCACCCCCACCCCCGCCCTCGCCCTCGCCCGGCCCCACTGGCTCCCTATCACACACTAAACCCTGTACCCCATCACCCCCACCCTCGCCCTCGCCCTCGCCAGGCCCCACTGGGTCCCTATCACACACTAAACCCTGTACCCCATCACCCCCGCCCTCGCCCTCGCCCTCGCGCTCGCCAGGCCCCACTGGCTCCCTATCACACACTAAACGCTGTACCCCATCACCCCCCCCTCGCCAGGCCCCACTGGCTCCCTATCACACACTAAACGCTGTACCCCATCACCCCCCCCTCGCCAGGCCCCACTGGCTCCCTATCACACACTAAACGCTGTACCCCATCACCCTCGCCCTCGCCAGGCCCCACTGGGTCCCTATCACACACTAAACCCTGTACCCCATCACCCTCGCCCTCGCCAGGCTCTGTGTTAGGCTGAGGATTCCGTGCATCCGACCTATAATAATAATAATAATCCTCGCATTTGACATAGCGCTTTTCACGTCTTCTCGACGTCTCAAAGCGCTTCACAGAATAGACTGTATCGTGAATTGACCGTATATTTGTGGGCGAAACACGGCAGCCAATTGCACACAGTGGTTCCCACAAACAGTCGTGGATTGAAAATGACCAATTTATTATTGCTTTGTTTTGGAGGGATTATTATCAGGCGTATGGAGTAAGGAAACTTGCCCGAGGTTTCGCCCCCGGCCTGGAATTGAGCTCAGGTCTCTCGCTTACGAGGCGAGTGCTCTAACCACTGAGCTACAGGACATTTCAAAGCACTTGATAGAATATCCTGGAATGCATTGCCTGAAGGGGTGGTGGAAGCCGATTTGAGAACAACTGTTAAGCGAGAACTTGATAATTATTTGAGCGAACACCAGCACTGACTCGTGGGGGGAGAGAGAGAGAGAGAGAGAGCAGGGAATGGGGTTGGAGTTGAAAGTGACAGTGTGGGGGAGCGACCATTGACACGGACACGGTGGGGGAGAGAGAGAGAGAGAGAGAGAGAGAGAGAGAGCAGGGAATGGGGTTAGAGCTCTTACAATACAAGGCTTTTGTGCAAATTAAAATGAGGCAACAGTCTACACTGCAGAATTTGGGGGAATAAAACAAGAGCGGCGGTCAATATCGCAGTGTACAAAGCTATTGGGATTCAGTAATGAGCTACAACATTAAATTCACAATACGTTCGCTATAAAAACCTTCAACTCGGATCGTCACTTTGAAAATATTGACAAGTCTTGTCTGACGTGATCTTCTCCCCACACACACACACACACACAACAACTCAACAACGCACTGAGGCTCAGAGCCAATGAGAAAAGAACATGGAAACTTTTGCTGAATAAAAATGGAACAGCGACCATCTGAAGCAGATAAATGATTTTAAAGATGTCTCAAGACATTTAACTTGATGACGTCTATATTTAGGAGATTTTGATCCCATAAAACATTTTTCTGAAGGCAACGTTTAGCTCATCTTTTTCAAAGCTATTAAAATGAATTAACTAATGACTCAACACACAAGTGTTTCAGTAACTACTGTTCCAAATCTAAATTCATAGCTTCATAACCGGCTTAGGAACTGAAGTATTTTGATTTGGCTGAAAGATGACCTGGAAGAATCTGGAAGAGTTCTTATCTTCTTATGTTCTTAATACACGAACCATATTGATGTTACATTACACATAAAACTAAGAAGAAAATGGCTTATGTTGAAATTGCTCCCAGTTGCTACATATAATGTTATCTCCGGACATCAGGGTTATTTATCAGCATCACATTCATTATTCTGCTGAACATTATATGTTGCATTATATGGAGGAAAATCTTTACAGTGGTTTGTAAGCACAACCCCCAAAATAATGATGTAGTTCCTTAGCATAACCCAATCGTGAGATTTGATATACAAAAAACCTGACAACTGCAAATAAGATGAATAATCCTGAAAACTGAAGTCATACCCAGCAATTAACTCCAATCCCTGACCCTCATCTCATTTCTAAGGCAGAGCTCCCTCATGTGTCCTTAAAGAGGCGCTGACAATCACTGGCAGCCGTGTGGACCAGTCTGAGGAACTGACAACAAGAATTACCTTCTCAACAAAAGCAGAAATTAGCAGCGATGGAGCCTAAAGTGCAGCAATTTTAAAAACAATTCCTTAAATTAGGAATTCTAATTCGGGAGCTCCGGCCGGTAATTGGAAGTATATCAGACTGACCTATAGCTCTGAAAGCACTCCAAGTCACAGGGAGCTCCCACAGATTGCTGTGATGTAC